ATCGTAAAGCAGTCGTGTCCTTGTAGTTGTAGCTATCTGTCTATCAAAAAGCAATCGAAAAGTGATACTGTAGTGCAGAGCGTAATGTGATGATATACTATACATATGTTCCGTTTCAGCAGCAAAGCAAAACCAACCAAATTCAGCAAAGTAAAAGACAAGTGTCAGTTTCATAAGGTCCTTCTCTTGAACATCACCTTGACGTTTCTCGCAGGATTCGAGGTAGGCCCATACCACTCGTCTGGTGGTCTCACGCCGTTTGGCATTCTCACATCATAATGCAATACTAAATGTGCCAGGATACACTTCATCTCCATCGAAGCAAAGAATCTTCCAGGACTATCAACGTTGGCAATTAGTATATTCCTAGTCCAGAAAATAAACTGCAAGCTCACCATATGTGACGCCCTCCTCCGAAGGAGAGATATGACTCCGACGTTCCTGTCAAGCGAAACATCCAGTCATCTGAGCTCTCATCGATTATGTTCTCTTTTGACGATCTCATATTGTAAAAACGTAGGCCATCAAACGTTCGTGGTTGGGCATATACGCTTTCGTCTTCGTGGATGACTGTTGCAGCTGTAGCCAAGAACTTCCCAGCGGAGACTCTGGTTCCATCCGCAAAGGTAAAGTCGACCATGGCAAGTCTGGGCATCCAGATTGCACCCAAGCCGTTCAAACGTAATGTTTCTCGGAAAAAGCTGTCAATCTTGGCGCAACGTCCCAGTCCTTCTCTGTTCCATTGCGCCATATCGGCTCCGAGGTGCTGTTCAACTTCCCCGCGAAGGATGTGGATGTAGTTCGGTTGAGAGGCGAGGTGATAGACTGCATGTGTCAGCGTCTGCAAAAACATCAGTATTATTGACAAAATTTGACACGTCATCACGGCACCTTTGTAGTGGTATGCAAAGCCACGAAATTTACGTTCAACATTCTCATTGCAAGGGATTCTATCGAACGGGGTTGCAGATCCTCGGTATTAGACGTCAACCACGACAGCATATCATTCTAGAATCATTACCATCAGTGCTAGACGTCGAGAAGCTAGAAAGAACTTACGTGAGGTACCGGCTTCGAATCAGGTATAAGGAGTCTTCGTTCCTCGATGATCGGTTGTAAAAACCTCACCATTCTGCGATGATGTCCGTGAATTGAACGATATATGCGACCAATCATCCTATACAAGAATGTAAGTCAAACGATAATAGTTCTAAGGCACGTGTTGGCACGAACGGTCTGAGGAATCCAGGGATCAGAAATTTCATGATAGGTCCAATGGTTAAAGTATCGTTAGTGAACTCCCGAGCAAGTCGACAATATTCTTCGTTATGAGCTTTGCAAAAAAAATATCAGTGATTTCGAGAAATCTGGATAGGGAATAATACCTAATGATGGGCCGAGGAATACTCGAGTACTTGCACGACAAACGATGTGAGATATTGTACTCAAACCATCGAAAGGTACCCATTCTGTATGTTCACGGCTAGTAAGCGTCTGCCAGTGACTCATAGAAATTGACCGTACCTATATCCTCGACCATATACTTTCCAACAATCTCTGCAAAACTCAAAGCAATCTCATCAACAAGTCCGGGTAGGATAGCAAACAGATTTTGATTCAGGGACGTCTTGATAGCAGGTATATGATATGTCTCGTTACAAAACTGAGGACCAACTGTATGCTTCAGCTGTAGAAGCTTGAATGCCATGAGACGATAGATTAAGGCACAGTCAACGCTGCACATACCTCTTCGGCGGCTGCCTCCATCGAAAGCACATCTTCAGGCGCATTATACATCTCCCTCACATGTCTGTTGGTCCTGGCGAGAACCACCCATTGTCCAACCAACGGGAAGGCGAATAAATGATCCCCGTACTGTCACGGAATCTATGACAATCCGTAAAAAGAACAGGGTAACTCGTACTTACCTTTCTGCAAGCTTCCTCTATAGCGAGTTTAGTGCAAAAGCAATTCCTAATTGATGCAATATATGATGACCACACGCCCGAGAATCCGAGTTTGGGAAGTTCTTGCTAGAATACATGTGGACAGCGGCATCTAAAGTCCAGGACCGAGATACTTACCTGAATTTGCCTCCCGCGGTCGTATAATCGCGTTATGACGAAGAGAGCAACCAGAGAGACAATTACCGCGAGGCTCATCGTGAGCTGAGATGTCTGTGGGACCAAAGGCGCTGGACACAACAACCGTGTGTAGAACAACGTGGGAATCGAACGCATAGAAGCGGCAGGTCTTATTTTCTTTTATTAGCTGCGTTCACGTCAGTATTGGAGCTTCCTGTGCAGCGGTGATACTAGAGCGTAGAAAAAGAGCGTCTTGCTGCGATCTGATGTAGAATTGACAAGGGTGCCAAGGTGGCAGTAGGCAATGCCGGTCGCTTGCCATGCTCACGATAACGCTCACAAGTTAACAGCAACTTGCTGTAAGCATATTTTTTGAGGAGATCTGGCGCATGTCATTAAATCTATTTTTCCGATCCCCTTCTGCCTTTTCTCAAATCTAAGCATCAGTTGCCGCCAGTCCACCGTTCTGGGTCTGGCAAGCTAACATTAGCTTCATCATGTTCGACGCCCGGTTCCAGATTTGAGAATCTATACATCTCATTTCCGAGTAGCCAAGGCTGATGCATCAGTAACTGCAGAGATGACATCTATGAAACCATTCGGGAGGTTCGGAACATAACGAAGCGCGAGTTCCTATATATCCATTGTTGGTGACAAATGCAGTGATTGATTTTCTTTCACCTCTTCTTCTCTGGCACATTTTTTGTATATTTCTTATTCAATATGCATCATTTAGTCGGACGGCGACAAGGTAGGTTGGCGAAGTACACTCTTTCTATTCTAATGATGAATGTGTATGATCAGAGGCTGGGACTGGAACTCCCTCCTTTGTGGTCTTTGATGTTTTGCAGGCATTGGCACTTGTTTTGCTCTTGGTTACATATTTTGCAGCACTTTTTTCGAAGTCAATCACTCGCATGAAAACATGGTTTTGCTTGATGCTATCCAGCATTATATATTGCATTTCATTCCTTCTCCTTGTGGGGCATCAAGATGGTCCTGACCCCCCTTTCCCTCTTTGCATATTCCAAGCAGGCCTTATTTACGCTGCACCAGCTACGTCTGTGTCTTCAAGTCGTCTAAAAGAGAAATTTTACTGATACGACTTTGATTCTACACAGTGTGGCTGCTTCCGGTCTTGGATTTGTGATTGAGGTATGTCCTGAGCCTCCAAGCTATAAGAAGATAATTTGAAAACCACACAGTTGTACATGCGTCTATCATCTGGCTTGACAATGACGGAGCTGAGTCATCGTAAAATCACTGTGGTGGGTATTTGTAATTTGTATAAGAATTAAATTATATATCACTAAATTAGTTGATGTTCTTATCACCACTTGCTCATTTGCTTGTTTTTTGGGTTGGAATATTCGTCAGTCAAACTTTCGTCTAGCATCTAGTTTCACCCATACTGATAAAAATCAATTCTGATAGGGAGGATTATCCAACCAAAGTGCGGTGGAAAGAATTCCAAGTGGAATGTACTGCCACATCAATGCTAGTGTTCCGTAAGTGCTAAACTCTTCTACCTATAATTATCTTTAAGAGCAGAACATCAAAGTACGATGTTTACTGGTGTCACCACTGTGACCTTTTTGGTACTTATGGTTCTTCTGGAAGGTCAGTTTTTCCCAATCATTTCTTGAATCTGTTTTAAGCAGATTTTTAGCCTACACTGGGTACTATCTTTGGAGAAGGAGAAGGGGACTTGTCAGTCTAAGGTCAAGAGGTTCTGATGGTTCTTTTCCTTTCAAATTATTCATTCGTATGGCTGTTTTCACACTTGTTGGAGGCATGGGAATGATGTGAGAGTTTGCAAATTTCCTGATTTCATTCTATTACTTATAATTCTTAGCATGGTAGATATTCTTATGAATACCAAGTCTTCAGCTTCTTCAGCAGATATAACTCTTGATCTTCTAGCAATTAGTATGTCTTGTACTCTTCACTTTTCAAAGCCAACCAAATATGCATTTTATACAGTCCCTTTATCTATTGCTATTCTCTTTGGGTCACAGACTGTACGAAATTTTTAATTTAACCTTCTGAATGACTGACACAAGTGTAACATCTAGGAATATCTGAAAGTCTACATGTTCTGGAAGAAGAACTTGCCTCAAAATGAACCAGTATCCAAGAATGCAAGTCATGTTTGATCATGTCAACCACACAAACATGATTTTTCATGTTTTAGAAGTGGGATCTTTCTAACAACTTGTCATTCATTTATCAATCACACTCATTTCTGAACACTCCTTTATATTGTAGCATAGCTATTGTATAACTTTATGTAGCCTTTAGTGTAAGTTTTGAGTGGAGTGAACTTGCTCCACAACTTGCTAGAACCTTTGTAGAGCTAGGATCTACTTTCAGATAAGGAGAGTAAAGTATCAATGGCAACTATAAGTTTGTTGACACTATTGTGGAAGGTCTCAATGCACATTACACAAGGTCCTAGATAGCTTGGTAGTAGGAGTGATTCTACATCAGCATCATGATGAATTCAGTACCTTCTCAATCAGATAAACATGCAATTCAATAGACATCCTTAGTGACAGATAGGTATGTAAATGGGGGGTTATGCCACTTCCAAGTAAATTTGTCTGCAGTGCAATGCAATGTCTCTAAGCTAGTGTCTATGAATCCACAACATATAAAAGAGCACTTGGGCAGCTTCAAAACTGTTACTGATACTACTCAATATCATTAGACTGGTTTTTCAATATTTCCACAGCACATGTATAGATTTGCCTTTGTTGCCTACTCTCATCCTGCCAAACCATGCTTTGCATGTCTAAGTTATAGATTAAAGTAAAAAGACTTTCCTTGTACAGTACAGTGTTTCCTATTGATATCAATAGGCTGAAACACAACCATTGTTGTGCCAGGTCAAATGATCTTAGGGTAAAGAATACTTGGATCAACTGGGGATTGAACCCAGAACCTCCTGGACATATATACCAGTAGCTCTAACCACTGAGCTATTAATCCATTGGATATCAATCAAGTAGTGGTTGTTTGGCAACAAGTAGAGGGTTTCACTTGTATACTAGGAATGCCTATGCTAGTAATTCCAACAAAGATTGTTCCCCATTTGAAGCTGGTGAATAACTTTTGTCAAGATTCAATGCTTATCCAGACTTGACCCAATTATCTAACTCTCTTGTGTCCATGATGTTAATGCTCCACTTATGATATCATAGTAGAGTAACTTAGTGAGACTTGTGCTAGTGTAGACTACACTAGCACAAAGTGACACCTGTAACACAGCTGGAATTTCCCAGGCTCCAAAAACCTCCTCAAGAGTGCTTACTTATTTATCATTCTTTCTGAATCTCCCTGACCTTCAAATGTCAGCTAACACACATCTTATTTCTTCTCTCTCCTTTTATTTCCTTTCATAGTTAATTATACATTTTCACAGCTGTATCTACCAACAATAGAGGAAAAGAGTACTTGGCCCACTGAAGAGTTGCTCCAGGGTGTTTTAGGGGACACTCATTAAGCAGTGGATCCATTTTGATGTCAGTGTGAGTGAGCCAAAGAAGATCTGAACTCTGAGGCAATACTTCCTAAATAGTTGTGTGTACAAACAATTAAAAATACCTCCTTCTTGATCCATGCTCACACAGTTTCTTGCTCAGCAACTTCATAAGCTGTCATTTCCTCTTGCTTCTTCAAGCTTGTAGCATACAATTTGAACTAGGGTTATAGGCAAGTTTGGGTGAAGGTGGTATCAAAAATCCAACCACTTTAGGTATATTTCATTTAGTTACTCCTTTTGCCAGGTTACTTTTGCTTTGAATGCAGCCATAGTTCTAACCTACATGCTACACACAGCTTTCACACTTCATCAGCAGTCACCTATTGTCATTTGCTATCAACTGCTGTACTACACCAAAAGCTTATTGTTCTTCATTCACACTGATTTAGCTGCGGTAGTTAAATATCAGGTAGAAACCATGTAGTACTTCATGTGATTGCTGTGAGCCCAAAACCACAAATAGACCTCCAGTATCACTGACCAATCAACACACAGATTAAGACATGTACATAGTTACTGGGCATATGGAACAAATGAACATTATGTATGTAGATTTCACTCAAGCTCAAGATCTCAGTGTGGGTCTGGAACACGCGTGAGTACAAGCGATATGCAGGTGCTAATAAATTACACGACAGCGAAAAGATAATGCAAGACTAACTGAACGTATCTATATATAAAGCAAACTAGAATACTAGAGAAACCATTATCCAGCGCGTCAAAAAGACCGCTAGACAGAATTGAGAAGAACCCCAAAACCTAATGCAAGTATCATCACCTTGAGGCAACCCCATACCTATCCGCATCTCCCCTCCCTCTCTGGATCAACCTAAATCAACATCAGCACAGCAGCCCAGACCTACGAGGAAGAATGAATAGCGGATGTTGCCGATCAGGTCCGAGATGGGTTCTACAAATAGAGGACCAATGAACGATGGAGACTGTCGGCGTTTTGTTTGACGAGGATTGGAATTAGATTAGAGAGCACATATCATATTGTCATTCGGTAGAAGTGAATTGGGCACGAAGAGAAGAGGAAAAGAAGAGGAGATTAGCTCTTGAAAAGATGAAACAATGAAAAGGCAAAGAGGCCGACGATAGCCAGTAACAACGACCGGAACTAGAACCACACTTTTTCAAGCGTGTGTAGTTTCGTACGGAGCAGAGGACCCACAATCGCTCGAAAGAAACTTGTCATACTTACGAGATGACACAACGGATGGGGCTCCGACGTGAAAGGTTCTTGAAGCGCGGAAAAACTCACCCTGTCCGTAATTGAAAACAATCCATACCACCTCGCCTCCTCGCCAGGCGGCAAGAGTTCTGCGTAAAATGACCGAGCATCACCTCGAAAAGCACCGTACACGAAACCTGTTCAAGTATTAGCATAATCCACCGAGTGCAAGAAGAAAAGGGTAGGAATTTGAATGTAGCGGTGAAGAACAGACAAGGAATGAAAACCCACCGAAATACACGCCCAACGCGTACATTTCGCCTTGGGGTGTGAATTTCACCCCGGAACCTTCGAACAAGAATCCTAGATAGCCATACACAAGGATGAAGGAGGCGAGGACCAGCAACGTTAAATGGATCTGAGAGGGTATTAGCAGACGGTCGGGAAAGCTGAACAGGATTGATACGTACCTCTTTGTTACCAACACCCCACCTCTCCTGTACCCTCGGCCAAATTAAACTCCCCCCGATAGCGCTCAGTGGCGTTAAAGTCCCGATAAGAATGAGTCCCGAAGCCGCCATGTGCAGCAATGTCTTGCCGAAAAGCATAGCCGTCGTGATTGTAGACATCGGTGAGCCACTAACGTAGATCAGAGGGAAGGCGCGAGTAGCTGGAATAAAACACACCATCTGACAAGAGACACCATGCTCCTAGATATTTGAAGGTATTCCTCAACTTTTTGATCTCGTTCCATTTCAACTCCCTTCCAGTCTCTTCCACGCACCCACAATCTCTTGCGTCGTCATCCTGTTCTCCCAGTCCTCTTTGGCGCGCGCAGCGCTAGTTCAGCCTTCCTCGTTTGCAGTAATCGCTCGATTTGCCATCACTTTGTTCATGCGAAGGCAACCCAGGAATCGTAAATACTCTCCACCAAATCCTGCTCTAGCCGATCACGAGTCTCAACCTGAGAGTAACAGGCACCGAATCCAGGATGAGTAGGAGTACGCCGAAGCCATAACCCAGAGTAATCCCGAAAGAAGTTATCCGTGAAGCGGTTTTGTAAAAGTAGGGCATTATAATTCAGGCGAATAGACAGGATTTTCGGATTACTGAGAGGGGACCCGTTCGCAGAAGAGTTCTGGTTAGGTGACAGAAGCGGTTATTCGTCCGTGTTCACTTCCTCTGGTTGATTACCGTCCGCTGCTCCACCATAGGTTGCCCGCTCCCGCTCCCACTCCTTTACAGTCTCCTCCAAATCCACTCTAGCTTTTACGACAGCTAGTTTGTCCCTCGCTAAACCAGGTAGGTAACTGTCCATAGCTACCACCGACGTCCCGAATCCTACGTTTGTCACTGCAGCAAGCAAAGCGGATATCCACCATATAACCGAACTGGATGGGAGTAAAAAAAAAAGTGTCGCAGCAATAAGCGCCAGAGAAAGCAGAAGAAAGTAGGAGATGTTTGCGCCGTGATGGGTGGTCGGCAATTCCTCCAGCTGAGATGACCGTCAGAGCCTGTAAGAATCCAGAGAAATAATATGTGTATAGCCTGTAGATGAAGAAGGAAAAATCTGCCGTGATTTGCACTGGCAGACAGTACGAGGCACGCACTCGGAAAAACCGGCAGTGTCTACCCATAGCCGACCAATCCTTGCTACACAGCGCTCTGCGTTTTCACTCGTCAATAAATCTAGCTATCTTGTCAGGTAGCAGGTAACCGTTGTCCCGCGAATTGTTCCAGGCAAAGAGAAAGAAGTGAGAGAGACAATCACAAGGACTTTGCTGAATCATCAACCAAGTTCTCTTCAGCGAAGTACCAGCCAAATGCATAGCCCTCAGCTTTCTGCTACTAAGTATGTATATGATGACGAGGACATGGTACATCGAAGACGCCGGTCACATTCATGACGCGTCGCACTGGCAAAACGAAATCTTTCTTCAACCGAAAAGGCACAAAGCACCCACTCCCATGAGAACTATCACGGCAAACCGTTTTGTTGCCAACCAATTCCAAGTCTGAACATCAGAATCAGACCCACTTTGATCAGTAATCTATCAACCTGCCGGTGGAACAATTCGAATGCTCGCTATTCTCTCTGGATCATCAGCTATACAGCCATTTCTTGGCCACGGTGTTTCCTACCCCTTGTCTCTCACTTCTCCCTTTCTTCTTCGTATCCAGCGTTCTTAAGTACTATCCGTGATGCGTGGGTTGGTATCACAATAAGGTGCGTTTCATACAGATCGTAAGGTTTCAAACTTACACCGCTACAGAGGCGCCTTGAGAGACTGGAACTCCTCCTTTTGTCTCCCTTCTTTTGCTTCTAGTCACATACATCGCTCAAAACCGATTCAATGATAACATGGTTTCGTCCTGTATCGTATCACCGCATCTCCTTCCTTGTTGTTGCGGAACATGAACAAAGTACTGCAAGTCCCCGAATCTCGCCCTGGTCGGCCGTTAACGCGTCAAGCACAAAATCGGTACTCCTCGTCAAAGCCGTTCATTGTTAGTTTGGACAACCTTCGATTTTTATCTTCATTGGACTTTGACGTCTTCGATGTCACCTCCATCAAAACCGTGTCGTCAACAGGTTACCAAACACCGTAAAGCCTGTTCAGTGCCTTCACGTACCAGTGCAGTCGAAGTCCAAGACAAGGAGGTTGGGACGATGCTCGGACGAATATTCTGATTTGATCAAACTATTGTCCATACCAAATTAGCCTCTTAGTTGCGTGTGTCATAATAGTCTTTCATTGGCAGTAACATGCATCCTGTTCGTAAGCAATGTCCTTCGAGTTGTGACTATCTACAAAAAGTGGTAGTGCATCTGTGAGTGTAAAGTGCGGTATTGATACTAGTAGTATAAATACAGCAAAGCAAACGCAATCGATCTCAGCAAAGTTTCAGTGACAAGAAAGCATAGCAAGTGTCCTTTTCATATGTTCCTCCTCTTGAACATCACTTTGACATTCCTAGCAGGATTAGAAGTAGGTCCATACCACTCATCTGGTGGTCTCACGCTATTTGGCATTCTTATATCATAATGCAATACCAAATATGCCAGGATACACTTCATCTCCATAGAAGCAAAGAATCTTCCAGGGCTATCAACACTAGGCGTCAGCATGATCCCTGTCCAAAGAATAAACCGAATATCTACCAAATATGACGCCCTCCTCCAAAGGAAAGATAGGACTCCGACGTCCCCGTCGAGCGAAACATCCAATCATCTGAGCTCTCATCGACGGTGTTCTCTTTCAAAAATCTCAT